AAACCTAAGGCATCTAGCTGTGTTTTTAATGCTAAAGTTGCTCATCAGGTGAGGGAACGGATGGTATTTTGCCATCAAAATGGGCTTAGATGGGAACGAATTTTCATCCCATCATTCGTCTTCCTTCAGGCAGCTCGATCAGCTCATAAGTCTGATTCTCGTTCAGAGACTTCATCTTGTCTTGCATTGTCTTTTCCCATTCTTCTTTCTCTGTGCTTGTCATAGCCTCATCATAACTCCGACGCTCACCGTCTTCAGCAACGACAATGTATTCATCAGATTGGTATCTTGTAGAGGGTCTTCTTTCTCGAATTGGATATCTCGGCTATTCTTCAGCTTAAGAACCCGGTTCATCATTCTCATCCTGAATCTCATCATCAACTCGGACCTCATCATCAGCTTGTTGCTGGTCATCAATTTCTTCATTCTCTTGATTTTCTCCCCCTACTTCAGCTCGGACAGGAGGAACAGGCTCTTCACATCTGACAGTAACCCAGACTTTGGGATTCGAGATGTCATGAATGTTCTCATCTTCATGAAAGATCACATCTCGGCTTCTCACTATCTTCTTATTGATTGGATCCCAAAGTCAGAACCCGAACTCACATCTCGACGAACTAAGATACATGCATTCTTTTGTCTTTGCATTAATTTTTTCCCTTTCATCTTGAGGATATGCACGAAAGCTCGGCATCCAAAGACCTTCAATTGATTATAGGCCGCTTTTTGACCTGTCCAGACTTCTTTTGGAATTTCTCCTTCAAGTGGCCGTGATGGTGAGAGGTTGATCAAGTCAACATCAGTTCTTACGGCTTCTCCCCATAATGATTTCAGCAATCCGGCATTGGATAGCATACTTTGGACCTTCTCTTCAATAGTCCTGATCATCTTCTCAGCCAGTCCATTCAATTGTGGAGTCATGGGGGCGTCTTCTCAAGTCGGATCCCGGCCGCTCTGCAATATGCATCAAAAGGGCCGCAATACTCACCACCGTTGTTAGATCAGACCACCTTCAATTTCTTGCCAGTCTCCCTTTCAACCATAACATAAAATTCTTTAAAGGATTGGAGTACCTGGTCTTTAGATTTCAACAAATAAACCCACACTTTGCGAGATTGGTCATCAATGAATGAAATAAAGTACTGAGCTCCTCCAAGGAATTTTTCCAACATGGAGCAAACATCAATATGGACGAGGTCAAGAATATACCTACGTCTTTTGGGTTGATTCGGTTTCACGAAAGAAACCCAGTCCTGCTTTCCAGCTAGGCAGTGCGTGCAACTCTCCAACGCTTGACCTTTCAACCCAGTCAATAATCCTTTCTTGTGCAGGAATTGGAGCCATTTCACACTCATACGGACGAGACGCTTGTGCCATAGCTCCAAGCTATTTCCAACTCGGACAGAATTGGCTTCTCTGCGATTGATCTTTCCTTGCATCACGTACAAGGAACCTTCCTTCTTACCTCGGGCAATAACCAAGCTTCCCTTTGCCAGCTTCCGTCTAACACTACCGAAGTAGCTCACTAACCCAGCATAGTCAAGCTTGCCTACTGAGATTAGGTTAAATCGCATGTTAGGAACATTCCTTACAACTTTCAATACAAGTCGACACCCAATATCTGTGGTCAGGGTCACATCACTGATACCAACAATCTTGTTGGTCACTTGATTTCCCATCTTCATGACTCAAAAATCACCACCTCTGTAAGAGGAGAAAAACTTTTATGTGGAGTAACGTGGAAGGAGGCACCAGAGTCAACAATCCAGGTGCATTCATCATATGCAACATTCAAATAATTATCCTCACCAAGGAGGAATATCTCGACATCCGAGTTGGCAGCTACTGCAGTGGTGCTCTTGTCTTCCCTCTTTTTGGGAATAATTTGATCCGGCTTCATAGAGTCGTTCTTCTCATCATTCTGCAGAGTCCAGTAGTCTGGCTTCTTATGCCATGTCTTCCCACTATAAAAGCACTTCAATTCATATTTCGGGTTTGACCGGCCTCTGGACTTTCCTCTTCTGTCACGATCTTGACCCCGGCTTTTACTTCTACCCCGGGAGTCGAATTTCCCTCTGTTCTCAGCAACGTTGGCCTCAGACGTGCTCGAAACACCTCGTTCTCTTCTCCTGAATTTTTCATTTAGGAGACTATCTGTTACGACATCCATCTTTAATTTTCCTTCTTGAGCCGAATTACTCAAAGTCACCACCAGAGTATCCCAACTTTCTTGAAGCGAGCTCAACAACAGCAAAGCCTGTATCTCGTCATCAATACCTTTGTAGGTGTTGAGGTGTTCAATCATGCTCATGTCGTCCTTGTATTCAAGCTTCACAAGACGGCGAACCAGGTGTGCTTTGTTCCTGAGAGTCTTCTTCTGATTCATGGACTCTAACTTCGTCTATAACTCGTATGCGTTCGCGAACTCGAACACGTGCTCAAAGAGGCTTTTGTCAAAAAAAATTCTTATTGTAGCTTGCCTTACGACTCAGAATCTCCCACTCTTTATCGATTTTGCCTGCCCGTCTCTCATCAAGGACAATGGGCTCATGTAAATCTTTGCAGTAGAGATGATTTTCCATCATCAATCTCCAATAGGTGAAATTGTCTGCGATCAGCTTGAACATGTCTCCATCATGTATTATACCAGTGGTCTCCATCTCGTCTCCCTCAGAACTCGTCGAACTCGGGATCTGATACCACTATTGGGAACTCGGTTCCCTCAACTCGGCTTAGAAGTCTTTTTGCGGAAGTCAGTCAGCAAGATCTTGGATCTCGGATCTTGGCAATCTTACCTCGGCCTGAACTTCACCAAGTCGAGCAGCGTAGTGGAAAAATGAAAAACACAAAAGGGAGAGAGAGAGAGAGAGGAGAACACACAATTTTTAACATGGGAAAATCTTCTCCAATGAAGAAGTAAAAATCCATGGGACCTAGTCCAGATCAAATGTCCACTATGAAAATAATGGATACAAAGAATCAAAATTCACCAATGTGGTGGTTAACACAACCTCTCCAACAATGGTGATAATCAAACTACCCTATAGATGTTTCACTCAAACTCTCTCTAGAGATCTCTCAAATACAAAGCTCAAAGCTTTGCTCACAAATCTCTCAAATATTTTTCTCTCAATCTAACCTCATGTTCTAACCTAACCTCCACCCACAACTAATGAATATATAGAGGAGGTGAGATCTAGGGTTTAGGGCTTTTAGGAAATCCCTCAATGGGCTTGAGCTTAGTATTGAAGGAGGAAGGCCAACACAAAGTACTAAGCTGGGGGCTTGTTATGTTTTTGGACCAATCTCTAAACTCACTATCCACATGGCCTACTAGGGGAGGAACCCTAGACTCCTTCGGGAACCTTGATCCCTCTTGCATTTGCGTCTTATATAGGTCGGGTCTTCATTATCATTGAGAAGGCTCAACATGTATGCTTTTTACCATTACACTCCATCTCTTTTAAAATATACTAACTTGAGCGTTAGGCACGGAAGAGCCACCTTCAACCATTATCAGACCTACATTCAAATGCTCGAGCACAACCTCACAACTTGTTCAAGTAAACATATCTGAACATGCTAAACTTCATATACTTTTAAGTGCAATACGATTGGTAGATGAGTCTCCCTTGTGGGTAGAAGACCTCAATTCGATTTTCCCTTTAACATACTTCTAACTATAAAATTTAGCTAGATTGTTACATGAGTTCCCCTTGTGGGTAGAAGACCTCGATTCGATTTCCCCTTTCATGTATTTCTAGTTGTAAAATTCACCTATTATATATGTATGCCCAAAAAAAAAAAAACCCTTGTTCAACGCAATACTGTTATACTGTGAAAATAATATAACCTAATATGGACTCACACGGATAATGACCCCAATAAAGGATTGAACTCTATAGACCTTATCACCTAATTTTTTTCACAACAAAAAGATTATCATGTTAAAATCATCCAAAAGGTTTTTTTTGTGTATTAAGAAAAGAAAGAGAATTTACTATTCAAATTTGGTGGAGCATAAAAAATTAGAAAATCATGCTATGTTTATAAGGCAATTTAGAAAATGCACCCAAAGTGGAGATCAAAATCATATGAAAAAAATATACGGTGAATGTTAATTTAGATGATTAGAAGAGAGAAACCTGAGTCGGTGGATTAAAAGAAATATCTGGAAGAATAAATAGCAAAAGCACTCAAAGAGTGATATTAAGAAATGAGACATATATAAGTAGCAACACTTACATTTAGGCGAAGTAGTTTTTTGTTTTTTTTTTCAATTTTTATCTAAAGGAGTTGTGACTTGTGAGAGCTAGAAAGTAAAATGTCAGTGGAAGGAATAGTTTGAACTTTGAAGCCATTAGGGTTGAGGCAATGAGCCTTGACTGCACATACAAGGGAATCAGGAAGGTTCTATAAGCAAACCTTTTAACCTCTGTTTAATTCATTTTCTCGATGATGTTGCTACATCGTCCCACCCTTTAAGTAAATCTAGGGTGGAAGAAGAATTCGTTCGAAATTGGGAAAACCTAGGAACATGGTTGTAGTAGATGAAAAATAAAGATTTAGTTAGAAGAAAGAATGCATATGGAGAAAAAAGAAGAGTAAATTCCTTAATTAGATTTTTTTTTAACTCCCAACAACTTTTGTTTTTATACAATGGTGGCACGATTAACCTATAATCTCATATAATGTTACATGTGAGGATAGCAGGCCTATTAGGTAGAGAAAGAAACCTATATGGACTAAAGACTATGTCTTGTAGAGTCAGTGAAAGGTCCAATTAATAATAGAAAGGATTGTGTACGGTCAGTATCATAGTCTGATGTATAGTTGATTCATTGAGGTGGGTATTAACCACTATATAATACAATGGGTTGTATGTACAATGGGTATGATGAATAAAGAACTCTTTTCTGTTTTCTGTTAAATCTCTCTCTCTAGTCAGATACTAGTCTGCGTCTTGTATCAACCGGTGCTTTCATTTTGACTCATCAACCATGAGGGTTCAAGATTTGGCCGAAGAATTCACCGCTCACCGTGATCAAGTTCATCAGCGATTGGATCAAGTGAATGAATCGATTGAAGCACGATTTGCAGCGATGGAGGCACAACTTAGAGAATTTATGTCTTGTTTTCCTCAGTCACAACCAACAATTCAACAATCGCCATTTACCTAGCCACCACCAACAATGCGTTCTGATAATCGAGGGTCTCTGTGTTTTATGAAAATGGAGATTCCTTCATTTGAGGGTCAAGACCCCAACAATTGGATCTTCAAATCCGAATTGTTCTTATGTCTACAACAGACTCCGGATCATCTCAAGGTCCAAATCGCAGGGTTGAGGACGGTGCTGCAGGGGACTGGTTTCAATGGATCTTTAATTGTGGTACTGTGCAAACGTGGGAGGAGTTCACTAAGGCAGTGAGACAACGTTTCGGTTCGTCACATTACAGAGATGTCAGAGGAGTTCTTGCAAAATTGACCCAAAATGGTTCCTTGGCGGATTATATGCGAGAATTTCAAAGATTCATGAACCAGGTACATGATCTCAGTGATAATCTTTTAATGATTCTTTTCATTTCAGGTTTGCAACCTGATCTTCAGGGAGCAATTCAGTTGCATCGGCCCACTAGCTTGCATCAAGCTATGCAACTAGCTTTAGCTTATGATAGCCATCATTCTGAGCTTCGTTCCTCTTTCACCAATCATACAAAGAAATCCTTTCATCGTCCCCACTCACCCACCAAAACTGAGAAAGCTACCCCTTTAGCTATTCAATCATCCCAAGCACTAGCCTTACCAGCCCCACCTACATTACCTGTTAGAAAATTATCATCCGAAGAAATACAAAAGAAAAGAGAACTGGATATATGTTTCACATGTGATGAAAAGTGGACAGCTAGACATAGATGCAACGCCAAGATGATGCTCCTTATAGGAGAAGTAGAAGACTCGGGTGGACAGCAAGAAGAAGAGATAGTTCGGGGTTTAGAAGAACCCAAGGGAACCAGAATTGATGCAGCTTTGAATTCTCTGTCGGGGAGTAATAATCTGAGATCAATACAATTGCAGGCCAGTATATTGAATCAAGGAGTAAAGGTGTTAGTAGACTCTGGAAGCTCTCACAACTTTATTAGAAGAAGACTAGCAGAAGAACTTCGGTTGCCTATGAAAAAGTCTTCTAAAATGAGAGTTTTTATAGGCAGTGGAGAATTTTTACTTTGTGAAGAAAGTGTCCCAATGTCAAACTTCAAATTCAAGGCCATGGATTCACTACAGATCTGTGGGTTATTGAGTTGAGTGAACTAAATGTCATTCTAGGAATGCATTGGTTAACTCAACTAGGCAAGGTCACCCATGACTACAATAATTTGTCCATGGAATTTGTATGGCTGGGAATACCAGTAAAATTGAGTGGTTGTCAGCAACAAGGAAAAGAGTTATCAACAGAGGGTATGGAAGGTGAATGTAATACTCTTTCACTGCAACCTGTTGAGGAGGCTCAAGCAAAGGTAATTTCATAATTACATGCCTTAAAAGATAATGTTAATCTTGCTTTATGGTCAGTTTTAATCAACTGCAGTATAGTATTTTCCATTCCAAACTCGTTGCCACCATTTAGAGACATGACTCATGCCATTCAATTAGTGGAAAATTCGAAACCAATTGCTATAAAACCATACAGATATCCTCATCACCAAAAAGAGGAGATTGAGAAACAGGTTAATGACCTGTTAGCCTCGGGATTCATCCAGAACAGCCATAGTTCTTTTTCTTCACCAGTCTTGTTGGTGAGAAAACAGGATAATAGTTGGCGCATGTATAGATTACCGTGCTCTTAATTCCATAATAGTCAAGGATGTTTTTCCAATTCCAACCATAGATGAGTTGTTGGATGAGCTAATTGGAGCTTCAGTCTTCAGCAAATTAGATTTGAGATCGAGATATCATTAAATTGGCATGAAGTCTGAAGATATTCACAAGACCGCTTTTAGAACACATAAAGGGCACTACGAATTTTGTGTCATGCCATTTGGATTAACAAATGCACCAGCCACTTTTCAAGCGACAATGAACAAAATTTCCAAACCTTACTTGCGCAAGTTTATAGTAGTTTTCTTTGATGATGTGTTGATTTACAGCTCTTCAATGGATGAACATGTCCAACACTTGGAAATCACCCTTAGGTGCCTATTACAACTTTTTTTTTTTGTTAAACTCAGCAAATGTGAGTTTGGTGTGCAGGAGATAGCTTATTTGGGCCATGTAGTGACTATTTCTGGTGTTAAAGCTGATCCAAGGAAGCTATCAGCAATAACAGACTGGCCTACCCCTCACTCTATCAAGCAACTAAGGGCTTTTCTTGGTCTAACAGGATATTATAGGAGATTTGTACAACATTATGCTTCAATAGCCCATCCACTAACTGAGCTGTTGAAACAGGATAGGTTCTCATGGACTCCTGAAGCTGATGTATCTTTTCAGAAGTTGAAGGTAGCCATGTCCACAACACCTGTGTTGAATCTTCCATATTTTAGCTCTTCTTTTGTCATTGAATCGGATGCATCAAAGTTTGGAATAGGGGTTGTATTATTACAAAATGGTAAACCTATTTCATTTTTTAGTAAGAAGTTGGGGGTTAAAATGGCAATAGCTTCTGCCTATGTCCGTGAGTTATATGCATTAACCGAGGCTATCAAGAAGTGGAGACACTACCTACTAGGTTCTCATTTTGTGATAAGGACAGATCATTAAAGTTTGAGGCAATTGCTTACTCAAACAATTCAGACTCCTGAACAACAGAAGTGCATGTCAAAGCTTCTTGGATATAGTTTCAGCATTGAGTATAAAACAGGACTTTCCAATGTGGTGGCAGATTCACTATCTAGACAACATGATGACATGGTGCACGGTACAGCTCTAGCTTTGATATCTGAACCTAAATTTGACATTATTAATCAGATTAAGTCAGAAAATTCTGCAGACCAGGACTTATTGGCTATACATCAGTCATTGGTAAATGGTACAAACAAGGACCCCTTTATTACGTGTAAGGATGGCCTGTTGTTTTACAAAGACAGATTCATGTTGGGCACACAATCCCAGCTTAAAGCCATTCTGATTACTGAAGCTCTTTGTAAGAACCTGCACCGTTAATTAAGAAAATTAATTAAATAAATGTGAGAATTAGGAAATAATTCCATAATTGACCCTAATAATTATGATAAGGCTTAAATAATTATAGTAAGTGATTAATAATGCTGAATGTCGCTTTTCTGACGAAAAATGCAGATACCGGCTCTGCTACTCGGTATAAATGCGTACCGATGAAGTATCCCGGAAAATTATAATAAGTGCATGAATATTTCTAGAATATTATGTAGGACTTGTAAAACAAGTTTCAAGTCAAAATAATGAGAACTGGTGCCAGAACTGATATTGGCTATGGAAAAGCGCGTACCGGAAAGGTGCTACGAAAAATAAAAGAAAAATATGATAAATCTTAGAAAAATGAGTAAGTTCAGATTCCAAAGTTTGGGAATAAATGAAAGACAATGGCCTTGAAGGCCGTAGGCATGTGAGGATGAAAACAAAATTTTTCAAGAGCGGAAACACACATGCAAATTAAGATACGTACTTTAGGACGTAATGATACCTTTGTTCGTGATTCAAAAACTCCAAAGTGATCAGTGTAAGGTTTGAAGGTTCAAACCCTATAATGTAGATCCAAACCACCCTACATCAAGATGCAAGAACACTTCTTAAAAGCCACCAATCGAACACCACAAGGAAGTCTAGCTAGGCGTCCAATAGGAGAGAAAGAGGCTTAGGTTTCAAGGTGTTTAGTTGAGTGAATTTTCAGCATAAAGACTCACAAAGTGGGGCATGAAGTTCTATGAGAAGAGGCTAGGTAGTTTTCGAAAAACCCTTAAGAGAACCTAACAAAAGGATGCATTTTTGGAGATGAGAGATCAAATTGATTTGAATCAGATTTTTCTCCCAAAAATATGACCTATGTAGTGCCCAATGGTGGAGGAATAAGTGGAGTTGTTGCAATTCAAATCTAGCCAACAACCTCCTATCATATCCTCATGAGACTAAGTCTATACCTAGTCAAAAATAACCATCATATGGCCAGCCATTTGGTGCGCCCTTATTCAGCCCAAAAACAGTCCAAATACATTAAGTAGTTGCAATTCAAATTGAACCAACTCACTCACTTATTCTCTCAACAAACCAAATCTGATTGAATCTTATTTGGTTGACTATATGACCATCAAAGGATCACCAAATCAGTGCCCCAATCTTGCTAGAAGATGTCCAAAGATCTTCTCTTGATACTTGGGATTTGATCCATCAAGATCTCATCTTATCCTTTTGTTATGAAACAACCTTTCACAGCCAATTCAAATTCAAACATTTAAATTCAAACGCTCAAACATTTAAATTCAAAATTCAAATTCAAAATTTAAATTCTAAATTTAAATATTTGATAATTAATTTAACTAATTAAATTAATTAATAATGTCTTGGACCATCCAAGCCCATTACTACTACCATGCGCCCTTTCCCTCTTAGGTGGGCTTCCTAACTTCTTCTTGGGCTAACAACCATTATTAGGCTCAATACCTTTAATGCTATATCATCAAGACAATAAGGTGTTAGTGTGTGACCCATTAGGCCCAACATAGCCACTGACATAAATGGGCTTTGGCCCAACAAGCCCACAACCCATTTAATGATAACACAGAGCACTAGCAATGCTTTGTTGCCCCAGAGCTAGTTAGGTTAATGACATGATCATCCTATTACATATATTTGGTTACCGTTTGTATTTCCTTTCGTCTCGGTTACCTTCCCTTTAAACCTAGGGTGAGGATACGTATCAACCCTTGCGGTTTAGGATAAGCTTTAATTCGAAATAGGGATTCTTCAATTTACTGACTCTAAAGGCAGATCATCTCATGATCTCTTTTACTATGCATAGATTCCCGAGTCCTATAAATGTCATCCTGATTTCTCCGGTTTACAGATAACCTAATCCCTTACAGAGATTTGACGAAATCCTTCAGCTTATCACCCTAGGCATGTGCTCTTTCAGGACATGCCCAAAAGTATACCTATGAGTCTCCATGTTTCAGGCATACGAGGTATACAATCAAAATATGCCTTCTAGAACACAGTCTAGGTGACAACTTATGGTCTAAGGAAAAACATACCCAAATATTAAGAGACTGCTCTAATGATACATTTGTAAGATTTCCTCATAGAGTCTTTTTGTGGGTCTGTTCAGTGCGAGCTATACCCTTATAGGTCCACCCATGACTTTAGCTAAGACATCTCTATATCTGTAGCTCATGAGGTCTTTACCTTGTATCCGAATACAAGTAGATAAGTCGTGCTAGTCTTACTCGAGATTACTGATCCTCATTCTCAGTGTCTCTAGACTAGGAACATAAAATTAGGAATAAACATCTGGTATCTTTAAATCCTCATGATCGTGATCTCATCACAGTTACTCGAGAGATACCTATTTTATTCCAAGCGGTTTATCGAGTTACTCATATAATATATTAACAATAATATTGAGACAAAATATGAAACGGGATAAAGAGTGCTTATTATTTATTTGCGACAATATAAAAAGGTCCACATATGTCATAATCTAATCAAAAGATTGTCTCTAGGACATTTATATACTAACATTAAAATGCTAAGCGTAGCTATTAGTGATAATACTGTGTGATTAAGTTTAAACCGGCTATAAATACTAAGAGGCACATGATCCTAGGTCAGTTTTGTGCACCTCTACGTAGCATTTGCTGAAGCCTTGTGACCAGCCACCTTGCCACTCCCTTCCTTCTTCATTTTCTCACTAAAGACACCACCTTTGATCATTGTTTCTTCTATTGTTCAACATATCTTGGTGTGAGCTACCTTGGGTGGGTGAAAGAACTTTGCTTTTGAGTTGTGAGCACTATTTTGGGAGAGTTATTGGGCTGAGTTTCTTGTTGGGTGTAGTGGGAGCTTTCTCTTGGGTTGTAGAGGCTGCAAGAAGCCATCTTGTGAAGTAAAAGACCCACCTTGATGCCATTTTTCGTGTTGTTGGGAAGTCAATACCTTGGAGGCTGATTGGTGAGCTCCAAGAGCCATTTTTTTCTATTTTGAGCTTAGGTAAGTGTCACCTACCTTGATCATGAGTTTTAATGGTTAAAAATGGAACATTGATGCATGTAATGGATTAAAGTTGATAACTTAAGGTTGGGTAAGGTTAAACACACCTAGAAATACATGTTTAAGCTTCTGAAATCGTGAAAAGAATCACCTTTGGGAAGGATATCTCGCGAAATATAAAACTGCATTTTGTCGAGAAATATCCAGATATGATATTCGGATATTGATATCTGGATATGGGGTCTTGAGATATGCGGATATGCATATCCGGATATGATATCCGGATATGATATCCGGATATGGCCCCGACAAATATCCGGATATTCTGGATTTGCGTGAGCAGTAACGGTACTGTTTATACAAAACTGAGTTATGGGTTTGTGGATCCTAGATTGATGAAGTGGAACTTCTGTAATAACTTATCTAAGTCAGAATCTAAGTGATTAAGGGCTTGTGGCTTTGTGAGAAGCCTTAAGACATGAAACGTAAAAGAGAAGTGTTGTCTTATGTTATATGCTTATGAGCTATGGTTGTTGATACGATTGCTGGTCCAAAACAGATTGTGATTGTGCTGTGTGTGGACCTTGAGCTTGTGTGGAATCTTGGCTTGGATAGCTAGCTTGCAAGGTAAGCTTTCATGTCCTCGGCTTAGCCATTGTTTGTTCCACCATGTCCCATGGGGGATGGTTATATGCATGATGTGTTTTCATGTATTGTTTTATTGAAATGCTATTGAGTTGTTAAGTGCAAATGTTATATGATATGTATGTGGTGTTCGCCTAGACAGGAAGCCATGGGGTGGTCCTGTGGGCAGGTACAACATGGGTTGGTACTGTGTGAGTAATAGACGTATTCCTACACTTCTCTGATCAATAGAATGGTTATAACACACATGACATGAATATCTGCTGCATTGCACTAGTTTTGGAACTGATATTGAATTACTGCTTTTAGAACTTATATTGCACATGTAAGTGAGCTTGGGGTGGAAGATCCTTGAGGACCCCTTGCCTTACTGAGATTTCTTGTTTAGAGATCTCACCCCACGTTTGGGGACGCTTATTTCAGGTTCATGTAATTTGGGGGCTGATGCCTCTGGCGGCAGGAGGCCGGAGCTTAGCTGATTATATATGTTGTATGCTGACATGACTGGATATTGGATACTGTTTATGTTTTCTGTCTTTATATTGATATTTGAGTTGAGACTCTTTTAGGGGCTTGTTGCCTTGTTTGGTGAGCATGGGGTTTTTCCATCCCGTTTTGATGTTAGTACCTTTTAGCTTGAGTTGTATAAACTATCAGGGTTGTCCGGTCTACTTGTTGTAGTTCTGTGATTAGAGACATAATTATGTTATTTATTTTATGAAGTATTTCAGTTAGTTGTTGGATTGCAATCACATACAGGCGATATTTTGTAATTGGTTTTTAATAATCAACTTGGCTAAGTATAATGACGTCATAATTGAAAGTAAAAAGTCATTCCGCATTTTTAAATTAAGTGTGGCTTAATACGATGACATGTTAAAAAATCAGGATAACACGGGGTGTTACATTTTATGGTATCAGAGCACTTTCTAGGGAAAAGCCTGTATGTATTGCAATAACTTAGGATGTTTGGTTACGAGTCTCTCTTGTGTGTTCTCTCTGTTGGATTTTGCTATGATAATGCATATGTGACCACATTGCGTGGGCCTGATCAACTCATCCTTTGTGTAACTTGTGCAGAGTCATGGTACTATCTAGGAGGAACCGTGAGACCACTGAGGATCAGCCGGATCCTGTCCTGACTGCATTGGAGGGCCACAGAGGACGTTCTTGAGGAAAACAGGTTGGCGAACATG